CGTGCCAGAGGTTGCCGACCCCGGTCCAGAAGCTAGGAGGAGAAAGAGAATGGGTGAAGTCAATGACGACTGCATAGAGGGTCATAAATAGAAGTGGAATCAGCTGTTTTTGGACACAGAAGAGAGGGGAGAAGATGGAGCTGTGAGTTGTCGGTTTACAACAATGCTTTTGGAAGGCCAGTGGACCATATAAAATGGGATTCTAAATCAAACTGACTAGCTCACCTTAGTTTTCTGTCTTGAGTCTTCAGTGTTAAATTCACTATGTGGTTTTACCAGTAATAACTGTGAAAGCTGCAGATCAATGCTGCGAACATATGATTAGTGTTTAGTGATCATCAAACATCATTATATAAACTTATCATACTCTACATGTCTAAAGTTGAAGGGAGTGTAGGAAATAAGTTATAGTGTGCTCTGAAGTAATGAAAAAAGATAATTATTTTGAAATAAAATGTAAACCTTGATAAGTAGTAAGACAGGAGTCATAACCATCTCAAAAGGTGCAGAAAATCAGTTTTTTAGATTTTCAAGATTAAAGGAGTCACTGAAACTCTGTCTGTTGAAATGGAAGAGCAGAACATTAACTTAATGATCCTGAAAGTGAGACATTTTCCATGCCGTTGTCATCATAAAAACATAGATGTGATGATAATTTAAGTCCCGGTGTCAGGCTCTTTAGCAGCTCTTCAGCATCAGGTTCATTCACAAGCAATCTCCGTTCGTCTTCTGCTTAAAATTTATGTTCAGGAAAGGAGTTGTTGCATACTTGGTTGCATCATAATGGTGAAAAATTATAGAAAGTAAAGTTAGTTGAATTCAGATTTATTTAAAATTTTAAAAGACCCACACCCTTGTTTAAGCAGCCCAGTATCAACCAAGTGTGTTTTTAGCATATTTGAACTGGTTAAATCTAAATTGTGCAACAGGTTAGATTCTGAAAAAGCAAATAAGCTGGTAAAAGTATCTAAGAACAAATACAAAAGACTGGTGGGCCTAACCAGTTAGTAGTCGATTATTGTGTTCTTGTGTTTTACTTACAAAATTACAAGCTCTTCATTTTGGACAATGAATGCCTTTTTATGTCTGAGGAATAATTATGCATATGAAGTGAATGTATATGTTTTGTGTTTTACTTCATAAAATCTTCATGGCTTGTTCTAGTTTTACTCAGAAGAAAAAGTGTTTTTTTTTCAGGATGAGGGCAAATCACAACAGCCTGATTGTAAGATGCTGTCTGTATCTGATGTCTACACAGTACAGACACTCCATGCCCCTCCCAGCATGGGTATAAATAGCAGTGTAGACAGTGAGGCACTGCTCAGGTGAATAAAGACACACCAGAACCTTAGGGATGTACTCACCACGGCTCTCTAACTTGCCCAATCAGTGCCTCCCTGATCTACACTGCTATTCTTAGTAGTGTATTATTCCCTGCCTTCCTCTGCTGGAGCCTTACCCCACTGCCCGAGTCTTTCACTACAGCGAGGAACAGCTCCAGCAGCGGGAGCTGCTGCGGCATTTCCCTGCTGCCTCCCCCCCGACAGAGCCTTTTCCTGCTGCTGGAGGGTCGGGACACTACACCGCTATTTTTAGCAGTGTAGATGGAAGACACACTATGGGGGGTGGGGTAGAGAGCTGTGTAGGGTATATACCCTAAGGTTCTGTCATGTCTTTACTCATTTAAGCAGGGCCTCACTGCTGTTTATACCCATGCTGGGGGGCATGCAGTGTCTATAGTCTACATGCCGCCATACGTGTAGGCTATGGCTTGAGAGAAGAATGTTCATTATGGTTTGGTACTCAACCATAGCTCTGATGAGAGCTATAAAACAGTAAAGATTAAATGACTGAGATACAATTTGTTCTTTATAAACCTCCATGCCTTTATTATTTCTATTACAGGCATGCCTAGAGGCTCCAATGACTGTAGGGACGTTATTGTGCTAGGCACTGCACAAACACATAGTAATAGACAGTCCCTGCCCCCCAAGAGTTCACATTCTAAAGGCTAGATTGTCTCAGCCCTTACTGAGCCATGCAGGGGAGTAAGAGGCAGTAAGACCACATCTTTTACTTCTCTGCTCAGATTGCCCTCCACTGCAGCTAGTGTTGCAGGGGTTATTAGTACTCACTCAATATTCCTCACAGCAAGCAAGTGCACTGGGAGGAGACGGATAGGAGCAAGGAGTAGGAGGAGCCCTATCTTTGCCCTCACCCTTGTCAGCCAGAGTAGCTGGCGAAGTGCACAGGGGGAAATAAGCTGTTCTATAAAAGTGAGTAAAACAATTTATTCCTCCCCCAGTGGAAGGGAACGGCTGGCAAGAAATCCAATTGAATCAGTTTGTTCTCTGACCTGCACTGGGATCAGTGCAGCTATGTGTCTCCCCTAACCTGATGAAGTGCTCTGTGTGGCTTGAAAGCTTGTCTCTCTGACCAACAGAAATTGGTCCAATAAAAGATATTACCTCACCCATCTTGTCCCCTAACTTAGGGTAGATTGTAAAATGGCAATGTAGCCCTGAATAGACAAGTCAGACAGTGAATGGGAGAAAGTATTAACAATTAAGTGAACCCTAGTATAATAAAGCTACTCTTATTCTCATAGGTAATGGCAAATGATAAGAATCACTGAGTAAAAGATGACAAGATGCCTGGAAACGTGATGTCAGTATCCTGCCATAAGCACCATTTCCTTTTGGTTGGCTTTCTTGGTTTCTGTCTTAACAGTTTTGTGAGAGGTCAGAAGAACAACACTCTGATTTTCACCAAGGAAAATAAAATTCGCAACTGCAGCTGTTCTGCTGATATCCATGACTGTGACTACAACTTGGCAAACCTCATGTGCAGTTGCAAAACCATCTTGCCTTATACAATAGACAGAGCCAGCTACCACAGTGACCTAACAATTTGGTTCACAGATACGACCGTGCTTGGAATGCTGTTGAACTTTACAGTGGTGCACTACCTGAAGCTTTCACTCTGTGGCTCCACTCCTCTACCAAGAGAATACCTGGCCATTTTGGGATTGCGAAAGCTGCAAATAAACAGTGTGGTTAAGGGCCAGTTTCTAGAGCAAAATTTAACAATCTACAATAGCAGCGACAATGAGATGAAAGACAAACCGAAGGTGCTACACAAAGACAGGCAAATGTTTTTGTATATTTCTGTCTTGGATACATCTCTTTTCAACAGGTATTCTTTACTGAAGTCCTACAGTGTGGAAAATGTCTCCAGCATTACAGACCACTTTCCAAGTCTGCCATATTCTGATATATTTTCAACTACTAATAACAAAAGCTACATTGTAACATTCATTTACTGAGACATGTTCAACAACTTCAGCAGTACAGTAAGGGGGCACGTTAACCTGTCAATAGAACAAGATATTGAACTTTTGCAAGTCTGTTTTGTTTGACTCAGAAAGGAAAGTAAGTGTTGGTCAGTTCTTACTGCACTCAAAACGACACTACTCACAAAGTGTGGGATTCAAAATAGTTTGAACACAGAGAATTAATTCTGTAACCTGTTTCTTAGAGAACAGAGAAAATGTGTAATCAATTTTAAAAGTGATGTAACTAAGTTTTCATAATGACTTAATTATTGTATGGTAAACATTGAAATACGTTGATTAATTTTGTTATGAAATGTGCATTACTTGGGTATATGAAAACATGACAATGTACCTTTGGGTATGGAACTACCTAATAATAATAACCCATCTGTAATGTGTTTTTACACATTCTGCTAGATCAGGGGTCGGCAACGTTTGGCACGCGGCTCACCAGGGTAAGCACCCTGGCAGGCCGAGCCAGTTTATTTACCTGCTGACACGGCAGGTTCGGACGATTGCGGCCCCCACTGGCCGCGGTTCGCCGTCCCGGGCCAATGGGGGCGGTGGGAAGCTGTGGCCAGCACATCGCTCGCCCATGCCACTTCTCGCTGCCCCCATTGGCCCGGGACGGCGAACCGCGGCCAGTGGGGGCCGCAATCGTCCGAACCTGCCGTGTCAGCAGGTAAATAAACTGGCTCGGCCTGCCAGGGTGCTTACCCTGGTGAGCCGCGTGCCAAACGTTGCCGACCCCTGATCTAGCAGAATGTGTAAAAACACATTACAGATGGGTTATTATTATTAGGTAGTTCCATACCCAAAGGTACATTGTCATGTTT